CTGGTCACTGTAGTCCTCTGGGAATTGCCTCCGCACCTCAGGATCTGTAAATAATTGACAGATAATATTAATTGGCTTTGGATTAGTGAGCAAGCAGAGAATCACACATTAATATTTGATCAGAAGATGATAGCAACCCTGGCAGGGGATCCAAGAAGGGCAGCTGGGGCTGCTATGTTGATAAGAGCAGGGAAGGACTTTTCAAGGCTCTCCCTTTACCCTCCTCCAGAAAGACAAAAATTGTATATAAAACATGCACACATAAAACACATGAAACCATAAATATCTGTGTGCACATACACATGCATATACACACACACATATATATGTAAATATATATTTCTATATAAATTATTTTGTAAGAGATGTCCTGGTGCTACACTGAACTTTAGGCTGTTACCTTGTGCAATATCTTTCTGGCTGCAATTTGCCCAGTAGGCTTGTCACCAAAAAATAGTTAACAAATGCACTTAGATTTTGTTTGTAATCAGATTAACTAGTTTTGCCAGCTACAGACACTGCATCGATTAACTTCCGTAGATGTTTTCAGTGATACCAGATTACAAATTTCTCAAAATTACTTTATATTAATGTTAAGGTACACTCACTAGAAAACAAAAAATATTTATCCAGAATTTGAAAGGGGTAGTTAGTGTAGCCCTGGAACCCTTAATGCTTCAGATTAGAAAGCATTCAAGACTGATGCAACGCCCTTATTCCTTTGGCTTGTCAGAATAAATAATATGGTAGTAGTCCCTAAATTTAATTAGAGATGTTCATAAAACAACAAAATATCATGACTGAAATTATTTGTATGACGACCTATTTGAAACAGAACTCTTCAAAGCCATCCATTTTTCAACGGAATACAGCTGAGAAGACCAGATTCCATTCTACAAAGAATTTTTTTAATTACAAAAGCCAAAAAACAAACCATACAACAAACTCAAAAGAGCTCAGAATAAAGTGTAAGGCACAGAAAAATCAACTGGCATCCTACACAGTTTCTGTCCTTTGTGCAATGAGATGGGTTTGGTTGTACGAGGCCTGGCTCACTGGTACACTGTTACCAGGTACTTGACTTGCTATACACTGTTTACACAAATCCTGATCATTATGTAGGGAGTGAAGTTGCATACACCACCATAACTGCTGCTCAGTTATTGCTACGCTGCATTGTAGCTGAGGCTTGAGGGGAAGAGGCATTTTTCTGACACGTACACTAAACACTGTTATTTCAGAATAGTCCCACCCCAGATTTGTCATTGGCAAAGTTTACTTTAGCAATAGATTAGTTGATTGGCGATTGCTAGCAGATGCAAACTTTTTATTAAGCTGTATTCTTTTTACATTAGGAGTACAACAAGACTGTCCGTTAATAAATTTTCTAGCCTAACTTTTTCCAGACCATCAGATGCTTAGTTTTAACATTTCACCATTACACACAATTACATACACAATATATCAAATTTTACATAGGCATATGAGCAAAGCCTTCTACCTACGCACAACAAAATAGAAATAGAAAGCAGGGAATTGCATTTTAAAGACTTAGCTTGAAAATTCTTAGATCTGTATGCAGGTAAGTGTAGTAAACCAACCACATGTAGTCCAAACATGCCAACAAATGGGAGCAGCTGAACTCACATGAACAGCCCTTTACACACAAGTAACAATTAACAGGACAACACAGTTTCATATTTCACCAAAGCAAACACAGCGTCAGTGCTAAGATGAAACTATGCAACATCTATTAGGATGCATATTCTTAAATATTTTTAGAATTAATTATTTGAGGCTCAACTTTCCAGATTTCACAGAAAAGACAAACCAATGAAAGAAATAAATTTGTAAATGCAAGTACATGATACTGCTTAAGAAATCTGTAACGGTGTCTGGAACATGATACTGACATTCCCCTCACATTGACCTATTGCTCTCAAACTTAATAGAAATATATATACACATACTGACACACACAGCATTTTATCATTTACCATTTTTTAAGGAAATGAGGAATTAAATTGGGGCATAAAGTGTCCCAATACATAGTGTGTTTGCTATATTGTATGTGTCCATACAGTAGGACATAGTGTATTTGCTCTAAACACATTCCTCCATAGATCGCAATCCAGATTCTCCATTCCTTAAAAATGCAAAAAAAACAGATAAGTCATACAAAGTAATTATGTGTGTGTAAGCGCATATTTTTCCTGTTTTCTTAGCATCTTGAAAGCCTTTCTGTGTTCTAAGAGCTCACTGGCATGGAGGAAGGCCTATGGGAACCTATTTGTCAGCATTTGTGTAAACCCTGAAAGCTCCTAGCAAGATCACCGTTCAGAAGACAGAGGTGCATTGTGCACCACTTTGCAAGATACTAAGATTCACTCATATGCACTGGTAGCTGAAAGTTATCACGGGCAAATAAATACATGCTGGTCCATTTATTGTCTCAGAGGCCACCTTACAAACCTTCCTCATTAAAAGCAAACAACACACCACTTAAATAATAACTGAAAAATCACAGCCAAGGATTTTTTGTTAGGCTCTTTTGGTTTTAATTTTAGCTTTGTCTATATACATCAACTTTCATTCCAAGTTTTTACTTAAATATGTCCATTCTAACAGAAAATTGGGATTTTTTTTCTCCTGCCTCTCAAAAATTTATGTGCCATCAAGAAATAAGACAGTGCAGTGGCCACAGAAAACACAGCATAAAATAAACAGAAAAAAACCTTCCTGTTCCATACATGTCCCTAACACAGGAAAGTCAAAATAAATCAGCTTAGCAACAAACCAAAAGATTTCTGTTGTCCTCACGGTCCTTACAAGGACCACTACATTTTGTACATCAGTTGACTAGGCTATACACTGAACAGGATTTGACAAAATTTTCAATGTTGACTCGTTTACAGCCATTGTCTATGACGCAGAGCGCGGTAGATAATTCAAATGCAGTTATGGCGATTACCAATACAAAATAACAAACAATAACTTCCCTCCCACCATCACTACATCAGAATGTATATCTCCAACATTTCTTTAATATTAATAGCCAGTAACGGAAGATATTTCAATTTTCAAATTCACTTAAATGTTTAACTGACCTACTACAAAATTATGTTCCTTAATTATTTCAGAAATTATGTGTTTCTGAATATTTGTCTTTCGGGGAAACACATCCTAATTAAAAATTAGACCATGGGTTATTAAGATCTTTACAATGCACCAAAAATCAGATCAACTTTATAATTAGCTTAAAACTGTTGCTTGCAAAACAAAAATTTTGTCACGTGCTCTTGCCATGGAAAGAATTGCGATACATCCTTGCTGCAAGAAGAGCAACATTTCGATCTTTGCTGTCCATCCCTATAGCTTCCTCTCCTCGCACACGAGCGGGGCTACTGACAGCCATCTCCAGCACTGCTGGGTCAGGCTACATCTAAAGGCGGAAGGCTGGCCTCCACCTTCCCTTGAGAAAAGGCAGCGAGGATGGATGATCTTTTGCTGCTGTGGTTTGCATAAAACAAGAGGCAGGTATGCCACATTTTAAGAACACTTCCTATAGGTCATCCAGCCTAGTTAGTCATAATATAGAGTAAATATTTAGAGTATCTATTTCTTTTTTTGTGTCTTCAGTGAGCTTGGTAATAGGAGAAAATTGAAAGAAAAAAGAAAAAAAGACCCAAACCCTCACAAAACCACAACTAATAGATCTTATTGAAATGGGCCTTATGAGCAATTCTGTAGTGCAAAATGGGGAGTTTCTAAACCTTTCCATATAGTAGCTTATTGGCTGCAATATAATTTTTACTTTGCTATTACATAGTCTTTTCTATCTCTCTTAACTAGTACCATTCCACTTCTACTTGTCTACTGATCTATACCCTAAAGGATAAATGATTTCTACCTCTTTAAAATTAGACAGTAAAATACACACACTGCAAGGCTCAGTAAGAAGACCAGGGGAAATTTGTTGGATGCTTGCTGTGCTGTGCAGACTTCAAGCAACTGAAGCAGGTATGGTTGTGTTCAAGACTAAGCAACTAGGGACATCTGAATCTGGGCTTTGGTGAATTGAATCCTCATGTAGATAGTACTATTTCACTCTCCAGATTAAACATTACCGTAATTTAGAAAAAGATGCCACTATGATTAGAGTCCCTACCTGAGTCAGTTTCTACAGGTTCAAGATGAACATGTCCTCAAAGCATGCAGTCTATAATTATATTTTCATCCAAAAAATGGATCTCCCGGTGCCATGATAGATTCATAAGCTAAGTTGTCTTTAAACAAAAACTTCCTATGTCAATCAACTGTATACATTAGGAGAAATTTAATTTCATTCACAATGCATGAAATTAACTTAATTTCTCATCCACCAATTTCAGTGGAAATAACAGCAATATGTACTTAGCTGGATGAGCACCTTGTGGAATTGCGCTGGGTGTCACATGCCCGTTAAGGCAGTTGGATATATAGATTGTATATAGTCTGCTTTTGATGACGCATCTCATAACAGCATCAGAATGGCTAGTCCATATAACCTGTAACCCTACAGTTAAAACCACCTTTAAATTATGCCTGGCAGCCACACGCTTGCACGTCCTCATGTTTTTACAAGTACTCCCATCACTTCAGCTTTTAAATAGGCTGGGAATATTTCCTAAACTTTCAGTATCTTTATTTGGAAAACACTACACAATGGAAAAAGAAGTTACATCACATCTTATTACAGCTTTCATCACTTTATCCATTCTTCATTGTTGATCTAATGTTCATCTGAAAGATGTTTTCAACTACGCTTACCTACATATACACACACAGTAAAATTGTATTTAAATTCTACGTGGTCATTACATGAAGTTACACAAAGCTGGAGCACTCTCACTAAACCCAGAGGATTTATATAAATACATACATTTAGATAGTGGCCATCAAGACACCTGACTTTATGAGATATAAACATCTACAAAACAAACACTACCCTACTCAGTATGGCCAGCCACTCCATTGAAAGCATAAGCACGAAGCGCCCAATAAT